AGACGAGAAGCACCCAGACCCAGCTCATTTACTGACGCCAGCTTCAACACCACCTACTCTCAAAGTTGAATTTCATATAGAGAAGGAACATTAGTAGTAGGCTAGTCATTTGTTACTTAGTGAAGATTTAGAGCTATGTGTTCAAAGAATTGAAATTTACATCTTATAAGAGACCAAAGCAACAACTGCCTATATTTAGTATTTATTATTTCTTGTCATGATAGACATATACTTTTGTAATTTCTTACAATAACAATATAGATTAATGTATAAGAGAAACAGAGGGCCTATTCCTAACTGTGATGAAAGTGTCAGACATCTATATTGACCCATTTAGAGTATACCTATGGTGAAATTAACATTATTGACTTGGGTAGCCCCTTGTTGGGCAATATTGCCTTTTATATCAATGTGGTTTGACATTGTCGTAACTCTTGCGTACAGTTAGGTTTAGTCTCACAGAAAACACAGTTGAAGGGTGCACTATCTCACTATAGACATTTTATTTTGATGGCCTATGTCCTATTACTAGTGAAAGCTGCTCGCGGTCGTTTACTCAGGGATGAAGTGTCTAGCCCCAGTCTGGACGTGAGAGGCTGTTGGGAAGTCCTATAAGCGGCGCAGCTGAATCGGAAATTGTGACCAATGGTAGAATGACGCAATGCCTTTCTTTGACAGCGGTGTCCCAAATGCGGGGTATACCTCGGATCATACGAGGCTGCCATTTTGATCTCTCATTTTGTCTGATTCTTCTATTATACCGCCTCCATCAAGAACACAAAAGTGTTTAAAATGGCTGAAGCAGTTGGAGTAGTATCTGCTATCCTAGGTCTGACTATTTTTGCGTATGACACGAGTAAATCACTGTATGAGACGGTTTCCAGCTTCAGGACCCAGCGAAAAACCATCAAAGATCTTCAAGATGAGCTCAACTCTCTTACCACCATCCTCGGGTCGATCCGCACATATGTAGAAGGATCGAATGAAGTCCAGAGACTGGAGCCTCTTAAAGAACCATTGGAGTGTTGTTTGACAATATGTCAAGAAATGCGTGAAACACTTGAGGCCTGTACGAAATACTCAGCAGAAGGGCGGGACAGTGTTCGGGCTTGGCTTAGCATGCGATACCACGGCAAGAGTTTTGAGGACATCAGAAAACGACTTAACAGTTATACGTCCACCCTCAGTATCACATTTGCGTCAATCAACATGTAAGCAGGAAATGTGACTTATTCTTACACTGCTACTAACTCCACCAGGCGAAATCACAGTATTACGCAGGAATCATTGAATGATCTTAAAGACTCAATCCGCGGTACTAAAGAAGATCTGGAAGATCAGTTAGATCAAATAAACGAAGCCATCAGATCCACAGATGCTTCAAACCGAGCATCCTTTCGAACCGACCAGGCTCGGCTGGTGGGTAGTCTCAAAAGCATTGAATGGGCTCAGCAGGTTGCGGATACTACTCTCCCCAGAGTGTTGTTGAGAGTAACCGAGCTGGCCAAGGGACCCGCACAATCTTTGGTACGGATACTTCTCAGCCACAGTTCAGCTTGAACGTGTCAGAAAATGAAGCTGGATTAGGTGCTATTATGGCTGCTGGGGTTCACACTCCACAAACACTTCAGGCACTTCTTAGAGATTCCCAGACGCAGAATCTCGCGCTCACACTTCAAGCAGCTCAGGCGCAATCACAAAACACCAATACCCCAACCCTACAATCTCTTCTACACGGCCTATCAGTTGGGCCGCTAACAGGGGACTGCTCTTCCAATCCAAGGATTTCAGGAAATGCTAACCCAGGTCTCCGAACACCCATGCAACCAATCGAGTCAGTGCATGGGGAGGTAGTTGATACGGAGCTCAGGGAAGTGATCAATGAATTTGAACTTGTATTTGTTGTGATTCAAAGGAAGATTGATTATTTTCTCACTACTTGTGTAAAGCTGAGGGTTTATGCACAATTTAAGCATCAGGTTAATTTCCAATCAATCTGGTCCTCACACGAAATTTATTCCATGTCTGAAGCTCTTTTTTACCTGGTCGAGCCTCGATTCACAACAGTATCGGTATCCTGTTGGTAAGGGATTCTGGCTGGCAGCCCTGATTGGGTCAGTGGGATGATCCAGCCAGTAAGCGAGCCTAAAATCCCACAATGAGCTTTAATGGTTTTAGATAGCTGTACAGAGACATGAATGGGATGAGGATTGCAATGAAAATGAGCTCCATAGTGCCTCGGGAGTAGATGTCACCGAGGAGCCTAAGGTTAGAACAATTGTACGTTTGCCTTCACAACAAGTGATATATGAATTGTACGGGAAAGCTGTTGTTGGAAGGCTAAAAAGAATAATTAGTATGGTCATTAGTCCTACTCGACTCATGCAAAACGATATGATGTGAATAGAAAGAGGAAGGTGATTGTTGATGGCTTTCCAGATCCAACCTGAAGCTTCTGTGGTCTTGTATGATTCATACCTATGTATTTTACACTGTCATGATAGATCCTCAGACCTCCCAGGCAACTCAGCCAGGCACCAGCCATGGTTTGGCCTGTTTGCATCGAATATTCGAGATTTCTCGATTTCTTGGCTCGTACGTCCACCTATTGTTCTCACCCCCTCAATATCCACAGCCGTCATTGGATGGCCAGATTCCCCTTGCAAGGCCCAGACCAAAAAGGGCGAGAAGTTTTCTACCCTGATTCCCATAACCCATGTTACTGATTAACTAACGTAAGCAGCCGGTGATTTATAATGAGAGGCAAAATAATGCGGAGTCACGTCACGTGTCGACGAAGACGGGAAAATAGATGTGGCGGAAGGCTGGATGCCAGACGATATCCCTGCCCGAAGAGTACACCTTCTAAACGAACCATGTTTGTCGTCTTCAAGAAGATTGGATATACCTTCTGGCAAAGGCGACACTTTTGACTCTGGGCTGAGAAATAGCACTTTTTCCATAAGGTATTCGAAGCGTACAACTTTCTTTTCTTTGCGGGATATGGGATCTAATCGCACTAAAGGTCTGCTCCCTGTGCATTGATCTGATGGAACGCCATTGATAAATGATCGCTGGGAGGACATTCGAGAGAGGCTGAGGTCTGATTCTGTGCTTCCTGCAGATACATGACTAGCGGGTGTCGCATGTTCAAATATCATGCCATTTCCGATGAAATCCTTAGGAAATAGAAACCTTCGGATAGGGTCATCGCATTGGGCGCGCAGGAGACATGTCTGCGGCATCGTGTATCTTGCCTGAGCGTGATCTAACCATGCATTGTATTTGTTTTAAGGATTGTATTTGGGATATTTCTTGCATAGGGACGGGGATAGAGTACATATTGAAATGGAGCAGCAAAGGCAGTGGGCTTTGCAACGTTTACGTCACACTATTGGTAGAGTGTTGTGACCCATGGAAATGGCCAAAAACTGTGAGCATGGAAGAAAAAAACATATTACATTACTAGTGGAGCCGAGTGGCCTATGTAAGAGACTTTTTGAGGTCTAATTGACGAGGTTACTTTGAAAAGCTGGTACGTGACTGTTTAGAGCGCGCAAAGAAACGTTTTGCACGAGGCATAGTAATGAAAGTTTTCTTATTCAATACTGCTTTTGGGTTTTACGAAAGCGGCCTATAAATCTAAAGCCCCACATTTCACCATTAGAAAGAATGTATAGTTCAACATCACAACTTAGCTCCTCACCAAGACTGTCAACTCGTGACGTCATTCAGACAAATGCTGGGCTTTACAAAGGTAACTCAATAAGGCCAAATAAGAGCATTACCCCCCTTCATAATTACGAGACGTGCTCCTATCAGCTGCGAACTAGAAAGATAGTAAAACATTTAATTGAAGCTCTTTCCCATAGCTCTTCATTTCTTTGATACAGTACGGGGATGGAAGCATACAATAAATGCTCTTGGTTACATCTCGAGCACGGATGGCCAATGCAACGTTCTCCCTTTTCGGAAATAGAATGTGCGGATGACTTCCTGGAACTACCGGACAATTGTGGTACATTTCTGCAACCGCAGACGTTGAATAACTTGGGCAATGGGATTTGCACTTCGCGTGTCCCTATGGTAGGTGCCTAATGGTTTCTACTACTGTGCAAGCCAGAGAAGTTAGAAGAACTACCTACACCGGCTAACAGTATTTAAAGTCTCAGGGCACAGCCACACGCCTTCCTCCCCAGCAGCAGAGCAGTTGCAAAGAAACGACGGACCCCGGAGTGTTAGACATGAATTGGCAACAGAATTCCAAAGTCACTACAGATGAGGAACTTCCTATAGAAAGAGCTAAAATCGACCTAAACTGTGGTGCGGAGGAGACTCCTGTTCCAAGGTGTCAACCAGAAATGAAGCCAGAACAGCAATCACCGAGAAACCAACCAAAGCTTGCGCCTAAGAAGGCTTGCAACCAAAACGTATATCAATCACAAAAGAAAGAGCATAACCGCGTTGAAAAGCGGTACCGAGAGTCTCTAAATGCCAAATTCGATCAACTTGAAGATATCATTAGAACTTGCACGGCAACCGAAGATCCAAAGACCGCCGATAGGATGCGGAAGAAGGGTAGGATGCCTGGCAGAAAGGCACTTATCTTACAAAATGCCTATAATTGCATTGCAGCCCTTAAAGCTGATTCAAAAGCTCCCCAGAAAGAATGAGACTTACATCGCACAGGACACGACGTACAGTGTGGGCCAGATTAGGGATGAATACACGACAAGGTAAGTATATTCTAAAAGATCAATAATTTGGAATAGGCTAACAATACATGCGATATCCGGACTAGAAGATATACCCAGTCTCTGAAAAGGTGGCCATGGCGGCTACAGGGTGTAAAGGATTTGATCCTGGCCACTTGGACAGAAGTAGGGCGCTTGGCATTTGACACGTATGGCTTGCTAAACGCAGTCTACCTATATCTCAACTTATAAAATATGACAAGAGAAATCTTCAGGTTGTCACGTATTCCTCGCAGCTTGAAGAGGCAAGTTCTTCTTTAGTATCAACAAAGAGAGACTGAACATGAAAAGCAACTTGAAATGTGAGTCTTATTCAACGTGCATAGGATCAGCCGGAAAACCGCTAGTAGAAGAGCGACCATGTAAGTGTCTCAGGTGGTGTCTGAAAGTCTTTGGTAGCGGACGGGGGAAAAGAGTATTCAAAGGCAAGTGTGCGAGTTGCGGACAGACAATGTTACCAGGTTGACCATGCGGAAAATAGAAAGTGCATCAAGACGCGCTTAATACCCCAACGAAGCGAAGGAAAACGTGAAATTAAGGAAAACGTCGTTCAGCGATAATGGGGGGCAAGGACAAATCCATAGGTCGTAGACGAGGAGCTCTCTTTCCTAGGTTGGTATTAAGGTAGGAGACCCTCCGGAACGATAGAAGACCCTCATGTCGGGCAATGCTTTCAGTGTCCAAGAACAAAGAGACTTTAGGTGCAGAAGCTTTTAGAGAATAGGGCCAGCCACCGCAAGCCTGTGAAACGGATGACGTTGGGACAAGCAGATCCTTCAGCCCCGTCCTGATTGAGGACTCAATCGAAGTGTCCGCCAATGGCAAAAGCGAAAGGTTGCGGCTTTCAATCGCAGGCGTGAAGGTTGTCAAGCTACGAGGGTCGCAACAGATGAGGAAGAATATAGAGATCTATTGAGACGACCGATGGATCTCCTGCGGAACTGTTCGTCACAGCAATCAATCAACATGTCAAAGCCACTCCCGATAGACTCTGGTTGGGTAAGTTATCCTACTGGGACTAGGCCCACAGGGAGCAGTAGACGACTACCCAGGTGGGTTACTATGATGTCATGAATGGACGGGTGATTTTGAAGTCTATGACGCATGGGGCAGCTTGTTCTCTAGCATGAACGGAAAAGAAGAATTTGAAGATCTCCGAACGCAATCGAGGGGACCAGAGTAATCACACTGGAACGATGGGTTCTGGACGGCTTTCTCTTGAAGAGTTATGTGAATGTCCAGTCGCGATTGATGAACGGGGAGGGCGGAGGCGTTAGGGTTGACGTTGCAGCTGAACTCGGAGAGGATGAAACGCTTTACCCCTGCTTTATTGATTCCACAAAATCAGTGCATAAAAGCTTCTGGCCACAAACCATGCCATAAATACACTTTGCTCTGTTCTATTTCATGTCTTTCTATGGTCCTCCAAATTTAAAGCGGGGCTACAGTCGAATAAGCTGAGGTAATGGACAAGCCAACATAAAAGGAGACAATACGTCTCGCAATGCAACCATGGATTACAAAAAAGCGCTCATTGTATCTCAGATAAGGCAATCACTCGTGCAATGGTATTTACTTGGAACAACAAACCTAACCCAAGAGTCATCGATGTCTCCAGTCTCGATCATGATCTGCTCATGATCTGTCAGTAGCCAGGAGCTGGTACAGCCGTTCATGTTTACGATTTAGGGCTGATAATAGTGAGGTCAAGCGCGTGCAAATGGAGGAAAGGGTATAGTCAAAAGTAGATTACATATAAATTCTATCTTAACTTTGAATGCATTTCGGCGCAGGGCTTCATCTAGGCCTGTGAAGATTACTATGTCTCTATCAACAATACAAATATGAACCTAGAAACGTTTCAAGTTGAGCAAACAATACTGGGAACAGCGAACCCTAGAGCAATATTAGATTCAACCCAGGCCCGTAGTGACTTCCGAGAGTAGGGACTCTGTGAAACGCCATAGTAGGGACGAGTCTGGGACATGGAGCGCTGAGCCTATCCAGAATGTGTTTCTCTTGCCTTGTAGACCATACAGTCACTGATAGAACCCCGTTCGGATAGACTCCACCTCTACATGCGGATAGAAAGGAGAATGGCTAGAAAATCGGACTATCTGAGGCTCCTCTTTACCGTAGATGTAGCCTACATCTCAGTCGAGTCAAGTCGGCTAACGTTTGTCGCTGAACAACATCGTCTGGAAGCACTGTCTTGGAGCCATATTCAATCTGATATAGGCCAGGAATTGCGGTTTGTGTAACCCTCCATATACCAGGGAGTTTTGCCAAGCCGAATATGGTGTCATTACCATCTGCATTTTCAAGGGGCAGAAGGCTGTTTGCCAGGCCAGGTATTCTGACAAGTGAGGTGTAATAGCCTATCTGAGAGAGGTTCGAGAAGATAATTGCCTCTTCAGGTTCCAGGTCTATCACAGTACTTTGTAGGGACTCCGAAATGGGCGGAATTGTCATAATAAGCCGCTTTGCATGTACCAGATGTGTCCCTGAGGGCGTCTCCAAGCACAAGCGTACATCTTTATCACCAGTTCGCTGGATTCTGTGGGATTTGCTTGAAAGGAGTACCCCCGGCTCCAGCAACTCCTTAGCTCGGTCATAAAGCTCTTGGTTGTTTTGGTGGGCGGTAAATAGGAACTTGTTTTGAAAGATGGCTGAACCATAATGTTTCATCACATGAATGGTAGGAAGGCTCACAACGTCTCCCATACCAACTGACAACGCTGCTACACCGTGTTCTATCCCAAACTTCCTAGCGAAATCGCCAAAGGGAAGCAAGAGATCTTCTGAGACCGGGTTTGGGAGGAAGAATCCATCTTCCAGGTAGGAATACCTCGCTAGCTGCTCTTGATATATCTCTAGGGCCTCTAAAGACATGCGCTTATCCTTTTTATAGGCTTTTCCCCCGTTGCTGAAGTCGAAGTACGTTGCGCTTTGTCTATTTTCAACAAGACCCTGAACGTAAGGAACCTTGAGGTATTCGAATAGCTGAGTTGCTGCATCGTTGTGCGTGTATTGATTGACGCCATATTCGACTTTAATACCGGTTTTCGGATCCAAATACGTGTTCACCTGGCCTCCCAACCTTTCCTCTTGCTCAATGAGTGCAATTGTTCGATTTTGTCGGCGAAGCTGAATAGCAGCATGGGTCCCAGAAGCACCTCCTCCCATTACCACAACATCGACCAAGTTAGTTGTGTCGTAATCACACTGAAAGGGAAGGGCAGTAAAACCAGCGCTTGAGAGGGCTGCATAATTGATGAACAAGCTCGCTAAGGGACACGCGAAGGGGGTCTTCATGTTGTGTGTGATATGGGAAAGTTGATTGGAATGAGGTATATGAAGGTCTTTGAGTAGAGCATACAAGCAGAGAAGAACTGGAAACTTGAAAGGGGAGGTTGAGGAACGGAGAAAATCTCCCGGTTCGTTTGTAACCCGCTTGGAAACCCAAGGGGCGGGTGCAGATGAGACCTATCATAAAGCAAGTTAGGCAAGAATTGGTTAGGTTCACTCTATCTCCCATGATTGCGTAGGGTTAGTTACCCCTACAGCATTACCTCAAAATCTCTTCATACGCCATCCCTAGGCGAATTATCTTCCATGTCTCTCAGGAATATTAATCAACCTTTATTTTTCCAAATGATTGAGACATGAGTCACATCGCTACTCGAAGGATATAGGATTTATCAGCTACAAGGCTTCAAGCAAAGAATAGCAAGATGGACAAGCGATTTCAGGATAACGAGGGATTAGTAGCCAGAACATACAAGATACTAAAGCTCATACATTCAAAGACGGTTTCTTGCAACACGGTAATGAACATAAAACTGAAAAAAGACAGATAGCAGCCCAAAAAAAGAGTACTAGTTGCAGATGCGTTATAGTCACGGGCCATGCTTTCTCTGCAACCGCCCATCTCATGCTATGGCGTCACCATAGCCACACCACCCCTGTCTCCACGGAGATACCTCCTTTTTCAGCCAGCAAAATCTGTCTCTACGACGAATTAGGGCTGTCCAATTAGTGGAGATTTTTCCCATCCTTGTCCATCCGGATTAAGTATTCGAAGCTCTTCATCTTAGAATATGCTTCCCACACATGTCCCCCTTCAGAGAAAGGTTCGCTCCATTGGAAGCCACCCACCAGGCATGTCTATAAGGTAGGTCCAAAGTATCAAATTTTGGGCCCATGTTCGGAGATTTCTAACTCGTGTGATCAACCGTATTCTACTTTTAGATCGGCTAACACTAGTACGTGGCGTTCTTAGTCGCCCATGACTCGACGGCTTCGGCTTCGAGCGCTTGCGCTAGAGTACGTAGTCCACGAATACAACATGAACTGATAGGTGGAGCTAATCCACACATTCTGCAGTCGCTGTTCGGACAAGACATTAAATTTATTACTTATATAATTCGTACTTACTAAACAGATCCTATATCGGGGGTGCAAAGAACTGGCCTCTAACAGGATGCCTCGTAAACCAGTACATCTAAAACATCCGGATTGTCACAAGTCATCTCCCGCCACGTCTTTTTGCTGACTGATTTCTAGCCAGAGGGACTCACCCGCGTCGTTACAAGCGTCATCGTACCATGGAAGCATTACGACGATTGCGCGGAGGTCGGCCCAGCAGGTAATCTGGCTATATCGTGTCATTTCCAGAAGCGTGGATACATACCACTCTCGATACATGGTGCCTTCGGCCGCGATGCCGCCCAGGGTCACAACCCAGAAAAGGGCAATGCGAGCATGCGGTTGCTTCCAGCCGGTCAAGGAGTCAGAAGCCTTGAGGGTGCCCTTGAGCAGACCAGAAAGCTCAGCTAGAGGGGTGCTTTGCGGTGGTAGAGGGAAGATTACACCAGAGCCATAGATACAGCCCGCGAGACGGCAGGCCTCATAAAGAACCTCATGGTGTTGATAATAACTGCTGAGCCTAGCCAGTTGGCTGATAGGAGGGAGAGTCAATAACGTGTATTGGACCATATTGCGTTGGTCGGCCATCAGAGAATAATTCGTTCGGATATGGTTCCCCTTAAGGTATACATCTACTATACTCATGTATACATCCATAGCGTAGAACACTTCCATCACTTCTGTAGTCAAACCGACCCGTCGGAGTCGGCCGTAATGGCGGTCCACATCAGCCATCGTATACCCAAGCATTTCTTGCAACGAGTAGTTTTTCCGTTCCACTTGAAGCGGAAGAAATGGAAAAGATGGAGGTGTATGATACGCGGTCGAAGTCACGATATCCGACCTGAGATGAACTATTAGCCTCAAATCGAGATCCCAATCACGCGGAACAATTACAGGGACACTACAGGTGCCAGTCCGGGAAGATCAATCGCTTCAAGGCCACCTCGTAGCTTAATCAATGAGATTAAGCCTTGGAAATGCATTAGATTTGGGCGCAGACCTCCATGGACATCGATCCGCTGCAACCGCCGCATGGGTGCTGTGAATGGAACGTGCCGAAACTGTTGCTCTTCGCTGATACCTATAGCATTATGTGCCATGCACATCACGCTCAAAATAACCGGGTTGCTGGCTGCCCGGTCAGATTTTTTCAATTCCTGATTTAGCAGCGCGATGGTCTCCATTTCGCAGACTCTGAGATAGTGCTGCTCTCGCTCCCCAAACATGCAATCTGGGACAAATCGGTTTAGCCACTGCAGGCGCTGGTGCGAGAGTGAACTGAATGTGATGGCTCTCATCAAAATCGGCTCATGCATCACCAGGTGGGCCCAAGTCATGCCTGAGACTTCCGATATACTGGCTGCAGGGCTAAGAGTAGGCCACAGGACGGACGCACCTATAGGTCACTGTTAACAGTTGTCCCTCCGGCTTTCGTAAGAGGCTATCAATGATGCTTCTTTTTTTTACGTACAGTACGCACGGCATGTGTTGGTGATATTTGAAGAATGATGCCAAGGGTAGGTCATTGTAGGAGCGATGAACTTCATACTGGTGGTCTCGATATGCTCACTAGGACTAGAAAAATTAAGACACCTTGGTCTTGGCCCGCATACATGGTGGTTATGGCTAGTCTCATAATTAGACTCATCTCCCTAGTGGTTTGTGGTGTTACGAAGATATATCTGAGCAATGGGAACCACATACATTATCGGTTGTGCATCCCAGTTACTAGTAGGGGCGGTTCCTCTGACTGTCAGACTATTGCCCGAAGAAGTTGATTTGGGCGAACAAGGCGAGCCTGAGAATCGGGACGTTTGCGAATTGGGATATAGGCTTAATGTTTCCTGTTCTCCATCTAAATTCACTGTGCGTGATGTTTCCTCAAAAGAGTCATCATGGCTCGAATTCAGTCGGCTACCTGAGAGCTCAGATCCGACCGAACAATCTTTGGTCTGGTTAGAAATCCATTTACCCACATGTGTCCTGATCACACGCTGTATCTTTCGTCGCTCTCTCTCCGACGACGGCCGAGCATCGACAAAGTGAATGGTGGCCATTCTGTGCCCAGAAATGCCCTTGCTTGGAGGCGTTTCTATTGGTTTTTTGGACAAAACATATCACATTTGAAATGCGTTCGTTGTGTGGCCTTGGTGTTAAAACTAGTCTTCTGCTGCCAACAAGCTACATGGTCCGCCAGGTGCGCAATATTTCTTCTGTGACCATATAGAACAGTATATTGACTACAGAGTGCAACTAGTGGCCGGCCGGTTATGATAATCGAGAATAGAGACTAGACGCCGGAGCTGAGACAAGGGGATGTGCGAGCAAGCGGCCTTTAATACAGGGTCCGACGATCACTAAAAGGTATAACGCCACGGCCCATGAAAAGGCAGGCGAGCGAGGACGGAGGAAACAAATTTCTGACGGTGAAACTTGGTGCAATTAATTGACTTGCAGTAAGTTATGGTGGGGAGCGAAGAAGGATCAAATCAGGAGAAAAACAAGAGAACCGATCGGCTATAATAAAGGTCGCCGGTGATCATTCCGGCGCGTCTCGTTTCTCGCGACGGATACCCAAAGCGTCTCTTGTTTTCTTGTTTATTTTACTTGTTATTGAAATTCCATTGTTCTTCTCTTGTGTTCTTAATCTGGAGCCGTTTAAATGTAAACTTTCACTTTTTCTTCCTTCTTTTTCCTTTCTACTTAACGAACTTAGTTGACCATTGGTCCATTCTGGGCCCGACCCTTGCCCCTCCCCCAAACAATATTACAGCATATCGGAATCTAAGCAATGACCATTTCTGGGTCTAAAATGTGGCGCCAGCCTTCACAACGTCTCACAAGAAGCAAGGCGCCGCAGAGGTATAGATCGAATTGCAAACGCCTGCCTGCCACAATAACCGTGGTGGCAATTCCACCGGACGGCATGTTGATTGAGCTGCGTAATGGGGAAACCTTAAGTAACCAGTATTATAAGAGTACAAGTAAAGTGATTGACATTTTTTCTACTCCCAGTCAGACGCAACAGAGATCTGGCTAGACGTTGAAAGAGCCAACGGGATCCTAGAAACTGGATTTGCAATTAAGGACTCTATGGATTGAGAGAAAGCGCCGGTCTAAAAAATGTATTATACGAGCCACCAGGTGCTTCAGAAATGATCAGTTATGGTCGCATTGCAACAGTGGCAAGGGCGATGGCACACACCTAGATTTGAATAGGTTTGCCCCCTTCTTGTCATAGCTAGCTGGTGTTTTAAAGCCCTGATCTCGTTTCCTAAAGCAGCATTTTTTCGGACGACATAATCATATTGCTGTGCTTGCGATTTTAACTCCTCTACCTGGTGTTCCAGACATTCGATATACTCCTTTGTCCGTTGACGAATATACCTTTGCGCCTTCCGATCGTTGGCGCGCTTCCGTTCGAGTTGTGCTGTCGAGAGAGATGTCACCTTTCGCGTCCCAACAAGAGGCTCTCGTTTCCTTGGTTGGGGGTCTGGAATGGAAGCCATCATGAGCTTCCTAGGGTAGCCAAGTGAGTATCCGAGGGAATTGGGGATAGTCCATCCTTGGGGGGACGGCATAATGTACTAAGCTGTCCCGCACCGCCTGCTTGACATAACTAGTTCTGCCGGCCTTATACCTCGCCATTATTTTACCTTGCTGTCTCATCATTATTGGTAAACAATGAGGATTATAGATATTCTGAGACCTTGATTAATTTGGCTTAGACTTAGAGCTTATAAAAAAAATTTGCGCCGTTTTTGCAACCAACCGTACCCACATTCCAATAGTAGCCCACAAATGTTGAGAACGATTGCCTCCTCCCAAACCCATTCCCGACACAGTACGAATGACTGGCAGGAAGAGAAATATTGGGGTTTCGATCCTCCTTTATCACCAGCGTGGAATACCAAGAAAGAAAGTAGTTCGCTGGCCGATGGGTCGCGTTCGTCACCTTTGTCCACCGTTTAGTCAGAAAACAGAAATATGATTCCATCACTGATTAATGTCGTTCAATGATATTCAATTTTCAATTTTTGCTCACATTTCTGGGGGAAAAAAAAGGGAGGGGACTATTTAGGTTTTCAAGCACGAAGTTTATTGAATTCAAAATTTTACTATGTATATTATTATATATTATATAATGTATCCCTGCTGTCTTGTTGCTCGGCGTGCTGTGATTCTATCCTGATAGCTACTCTGGGGACGACCTATCTCAACAAAGAGGCGCAAAACTTAGAGTGGGTTGCTTGGTTTCTTTCTTTGGCTGGAAAAGGCCAATTGGGCTTTTAACCCCATCGCCAGTCATAATCAAGCGTTGAGAGTATATCCCTTGCGTCTACTAGATCATCCCTAGATTCCATCGAACTTTCAACATAATTCGGAGTCGCAGTTCCCGAGGCTAGGGGCCAGGCACTAAGGAAGACAAACCTAACATACCTTCTCCGTGTTGAATGATTGCCGATCGGACACCTTCCCATTGTGGAACCTACAAAGGGTGAACATCTGAAGATGCTTTACGGTTCAAGACTAGCATTGATCGGGAGTATATTAGGGGGCTGTGAGTGGATGGCATGACACTCAGCTTTAGTTCAAGGGCCGAACCTTGTGCCATATTGATTGGACTAATTTCCTGTACGCCTCAGTGGAGAAAGCGATACGATCGCCGTGTATGCTCCTGAAATTGCTACTTGTCGCATGGAATTGTTCCCTCGAATTAATTTTTGGGACCAATGTGACGGCTAGAAGGCGGCCGAAAAGGGCTACTTTGGCGGCCGTTTTAAGCGTCGCTCTATCCTCTACCACCACGCAAGGCCCCTGGTCCGGGCTTAACAACAAAGGTCCCCACTCAAAAGAAGGGGTTCCTACACACGGATTATTCCTCGTCCTAGTATTCCATCGGCATAGTATTTTTAGTCCTTCTTTCGGGATATTGCTATGTCCCTGCGAGTATTTATCCTCTTTATCAGTGTTTCAGCAGCTTGTAGCGCCCCTGATTCCCCTTAAATGTATTGGAATGTATCGTCGGCAGAGCCCATTCTTGACGGTCATGCCTTACGGTCGCCAGCCTTCTCATATATTCCAACCACAAGTTGGCTGAGCCAGAGACAGCTTTCTCGCCAATCCACCTTGTCTGAAACTTACATTTAACCTGCCATTTTTACTTCACTGCTAACCCTTTTTCAAGACTCTAATACATAATCTTACTCAAATGGCAAATAACGCTCAAACTACGCTGGAGCTTACATTCACGGGGTTTGTTAGAACAACATACGACGCTTTGATTTTACTTGAGGCATGTTTGCGCGGCATTCTTCATCCTATACATCGTCGGCCTCGTGCCTGCGAACGAAGTCACCTTATCCGCAGCGGTGGGGTGTTTATCTACGAAGAGAACTCATCAAAGATAAAACGATGGACAGATGGTCTAACCTGGAGCCCCAGTCGGACGCTGGGCAACTTCCTGGTTTACCGAGAACTCGAAAAGCCACTTCTGAGACGGGGGGAAAAGAAAATGAGAAAAGAGAATCGATCCTCAAGGTCATATACATGTTATCGCATGTCTGATAATCATGGCCAGGATTCCCATCGATTGACGGGTTCACTAGGTGGGCAAGCGGGCCAATCAGCCGGGAAACTAGCGCTGGTAGGTTCTTTGGTGGATTCATATGACTTCAAATATTCAGGCTTGGTCAAGAAGTCGATAAATGTGATGGTTTCCGGTGTAACTTACTATCTTGTATCGTACTATAGTGCTGAGTATGTTATGCAAGGTGCTCTACACACACCGTCAACGATTGACTTCCTACTACACATTACACCCCGAACAGAGCTGACTAGGGGACAAAACTTTCGGATGCCCGTTGATGACATGGAACCAACTGGAACGCAAAATTCGAGGAGTTCACCTCGCATTAGTTTGTGGATATCACCCTCGCCCAATCGTGCCCACAACAACTAGAGTGCAGAATGTTTCCTGGGATTCGTATATGCGAGGAAGCTTTTACATTGCATTTCATCCTTCAGATTCCTTGGTGGGCACGGCGAGTTCAAGGATCAAGCTGAGTCCTATACAGCCAGCACCAAATCTATACATGCCTCCTCCTTGCTCCTACGCAGACCACATGGCATCAAAGCGATTCCTGCAATATTCAGCTCTAATGCAACATAAGACGGACTATTATGGGCTCAGCTGCATTTATCCATTCCCACCCGTTCCATCGGCAGTTGACGAAGGCATGCCAGCATCTTTAGGTGACCGACGCCGATCTTTCTCTAACTACAGCCACTTAAATTATCAGAGATAGCTTCAACATGATATCGATCAGGTTGATAAAGGAAAGATTAAGATCCCTATATCTTCAACTACAAGAATATGAAGGATATCAAGGATCAATGATCAAAATCAGGTGGTTGTTGCACAGGTTCATATAGTAGTGTTCTCCACTGAAATTGTCCTCTTACTGTTGGAAGGCAGAGAAAGTCTACTACTCTGTGGAGATGCTTGACCAAGGTTTTTTGGGCCCATATGGGCCCCGTGGCCACAGAGGTAACTCTAAGTTACTTATTCCCTCCCAATTTATATATAGATAACTTAAAAAAGGTAAACAGTATAAACAGGCTGGCCTTTTATATACCATTAAGGTCTCTGAGATGGAGCCTTCTAAGTTATATATATAGATAAGATATATCTTAGCCAGCAGTAAAATGGAAAGATATAATATAACTGAATTCTAACAAGTACCGAGATTGTATATGGATAACAGAGGATAAGATATTTGGAAAATATAAAAGGTTATTCTCGAGGCTTCTGCAATACTGATACAGAACTACTCAATCTAAGTCTGGTATCGAAGGATGGTGCTGAAGGATGGTACTGGGTCGTTTGAATAATAGAAGTCACGCAAAAGATATGCAAACTCGACAAGCATAGGGATAATTGCAGACTGTAGGATAGACTTTATTCTTCCTCTATTTGTGACACTTGTGCTTCAATACATGCTCAATGCTAATATCAAAATCAAAATGGTTGGAAAACTCCACCGTCAGATCCTGACCATCAGCAAGTTGTCGGACGAATTCATCATCGACTGGAACCTTTATGCCTCCAGTAAGCTCATAGACAATGCTGTCAACGTAGACTTGCGCCTTCTTTGAAATTTGACACCTCAATTCAACAGCCATCCTTTCCATTACGTATACAGCGCGATAGAAATCGTGGCGAGGAAATCGAATATAGAAGCATGCAGCTTTGGAAACAAACACGGTGCCCATCAGCGAATATGCAAAACACGAACTCCTAATTTCTTACACTTACTCGGTTTCCGCGAAGACGGGACTTGTGGCCCTAGCAGGTTCATGTCAATTTTTTCAAGGCTGCGGTCGGAAGCCATTAGACCGGGGGTGGAGCAGGATTGCATTATTCCTTACAAACTTCGCCGTTAAGGAACGTAAAGTGACTATGGGAGCTGGCGAGGGGTTGCTAGGTTTGAGTGATGGAAGGGTTATCTGGCTACATAGATGGTTCACTGCAGTGGCTGAGAAGATAGATGTGCCATGTTATGACAACACGCACAATAGAGAACGTGTGAGGGAAGTCAAAGTTCCGTACCGCTAGGGGACGAGGTTGCACCCAGCCACCCGAGGATTGCTGGTGGAAACTGTAGACTGGAACGGTCACTTTGGTGGTTTCCACGCCTCACGAGTGGCCGTCTCTTAGGTCAGCAGACCCACCCGCCGAATAGAGACGGCAATTAAAGCTTCATGCAAACTATTCAAACAGGTTCGATATGGTGAACTGGTTCAATATGTTCCTAGGCTATCTCGGTTGATGAAAAACACTGCCTAGCTGCCTCATGTAGAACTGCTCTGACAGCAGTCTGAGGTAGGTTTGTGATGAAGTCTACGCAAGACAGCTACTGGCAAGTAAAACGAACGGAGGTATTTAGACTCCGGATTTGGCTCTTCTTGCAGCCGATACTGTGGGTATAAATTAAACTGGCACATTTCATCCTATACGTGACAATATTACGCGGTCCTTCGCCCCGGTTCCTAACGCCAGTAATGCCAACAGGGAACCATGTATCACGAAAATATAAAATACCATTCAGCAGTGACAAATAGATATTGCGAGTAAAGAAACGCAGAGACCAGAAATTAAGCATAGGGTGAATGCTTTCATGACATCTCTAATGCTTCAAGTTCATTCCAAGAGAACCCTATATGAGATTCCATGTCAAGTTTGGTAGAAAGGCACCACAAACTTAATATCAGCAATTCAGCGGGTTATATTTCTGTTGTCGTTGCTACTATTTCGTTCTTTTTGCCCGTATTTACTTGTGTCTAGCGTAATACCGCATGGAAATATTACTCTCCGCTAGGAGGGTGACACAAAGATGTTCAATATATGGAACCTACGCCACCTCACCAGGTCATTCCCAGGTGATGGCCGAGCCTTGACGCACTAAGGGCACTGATACACTACAATCCCGAAGAACGTTGCAATGTAAGCCATGATATCGCTCTGGTTGATAATGATCTATAGCCTGTAGTAGGTTTGACTTCCAACAAGAGGAAGAATTCGGCGGGAAAACTATCTTCCGGAGCATCTGACAGCCGTATCCCCTTGCATCAATTTTACAACTGATAAATTCAGTTCCGTTTCAGTCTTACTACTACGACTTAATAGGCGTAGCCACATTAATTCCAAGTATATGGGAATGTCAACCTATGGTAGAAGGGGATTTATATCTGTTACGCCCGGGTATTCGTCCAAGGACTCTGCAACCAGTTAGCTATCTTGGTTAGATGCGACTTACCTGATGGCTAGAATCCACTAGCGATCAGCGACGGGGTGTGACCAAAGGTCCGACGATAATGACGATGAGTGACGATGGCTTGACACTATGACAGTCCAAGGTTGAAAGGCCAGGCCAATTGAGTACGAATACTCAATTGTTAGATAGTGCGAACGAGTCGAGCTGGTACAAGATACTAGAATGTAGCTATCAAGTAACTAAGTAGATTGATCACGAAGAACTAAACTAAGTACATGAATGAGTGTCCTTTATATATCCCTAAGCCTTCTACTCCCATCGTGACTCCTCTCGGGGTAGTGAATGGAGTATATCCAATCGTGGCGTGCAGTATCGTATACTCCCGGTATACTCCCCCTGGGGTAGGTGCTGGAGTAGGTATCACGTGATGGGGCTGGTATCGGCCTTCCACCAACCGTGTTGTTAGATACTCATTATAGTCATCCTTCGATGATTCCGTAGCTGTTTTCGGCTCTTGTCATCCTATGATATTCTGCCTTGCGTGTCCGCCCCCGATAAGGTACGCTAGGCAGGGGTCTGTAACAATATCCTAGAATTGCACTAGGACTTCGATAGAGACAAAAAAAAAAGGGATGACTTAGTTAAGCAAGAATATAAAACTAGTTAATGCACGGTAAGCTTTCTTTGTTCTTGTAGGCCTGAGACCTAGCATTTATTTGTCTAAAGCTAACACGCATAATTAGCGGCTGAGACTTGCAGAATAGTAAGCATGGATAACCCAACAAATCCGAAAAGAAAAGCACTAGGAAGCCTCTTCTATGGCACGGGACTTTTGTTCTCACAAGTGACAATCCTCCTTTTTATCCTCAACATTCGCGTCTTTTGCCTTCACTACATACGATTCACACTAGCGCAGACATCAACGATGGCTGATCTAACAGTCAAGCCCAGGACACTTCTGCCTGCAGAATCTCGTGGTTTCCATAGGCCTCATATCCCTATTACACGCATCGAATGTAAGTCGAAGCGGCGAAGCTTCGCCTGTACATCATGTCAAAAAAAGAAAGTGAAGGTACGTATCTATTAACTGCATCGAGTGAGCTTTTAGGTATAGCTCACATCTAGTAGTGTAGTGGCCCACCACCTTGCGAGGCGTGCGTTGCGTCGAAGTCCGAGTGTTCTTTCGAGCCTTCAACCGATCAACGGCGAAAATTGTCATTGAAGATTGCCCAGAAAGACGCAGAAACCTACCGAAAGATTTCCGTGTGTATATGATCAATATCCTGCGTTCTGGGAAGGAAGAGGATGTGAAAAATCTAGTGAAGCAGATGCAAACAGCACCATCCCTTGATCTATACTGAGAGCAATACGTCTAGGATATGTGATAAGCGTTGACTGGCAATGATATGTACGTTAAGTTGATATCTGTTTTCTGGGGTATTTCCTGCCTATGAACCGGAAAACCATCATCTCTAGCCGTATTGTGTGTTGAAATCGAAAATCATCTTGAAAAGGTGTGCAAAAAAAAGTAGATATCATCGGGTAGATGCTGATCTACGATCCGATTTAAACTACCTAAGTTGGGCAAGCCGCCGAAGCAAACGGAACACAGGGAAACCGGAGGGACTCATTCTATCTACTACAGGATATGTGGTTTCTCACAGAAGCTTTCTCCATCGATCATACAAAGTGACTCGTGGGAAGCACAAGTGCCTGCACACCCGTTGGATATCAAATCCTCCACTATCGGTGTGGGAAGCCTATTGCCAGTTCAACCGCATGACGTGGAAACGAGTTACGAGCAACAATACATGCGAAAACACCCCGAACAGTTGCACGCACAAATCCCATACACCGAGGCAAGATGCAGACCTCTGCCGTCAGGTGTGTCGGTGAAACTTCAAAAGATGTCATTACCAAAGCGCAGTAAAATAGAACAGTAATAGTGATGCAATACACGCATCATTGTATTCCTTGCTTGTTTTTGTGTTGATATTTCACTGTGGCGTTCTGCTTGACATATTCTTCTACAGGTCTATAATTATTCAGGATACTTGATTTACAATAGGAATTTGTGGAGCGCTGCTGCGTTCGGGTTGATGTACCGTAGATATATGCCGGGGCATGAAGGATTTACAAAAAGTTAGACCAAGGCTACCTTTGACCAATCCACAAATTGAAGACCTGCAGCCCTGCAAGTAACAGTAACTTCCACCTCACTGAGTATAAAGACCGGAGACAGCTGCAGAGTCTCGTTTAATGTAAGGCCCCATTGCTCCTGGAGGAAGTAAATGTGTCTGGGGTCTTAAGTCGACCTATGCCTGAGCACCAGGATTGCTCTATTCAATGTTGATCAGATCACACAACACTGAAATCCTACAGCTCCTGTGTGGCAAGATTCTTTCTTTGTCTCTCTCTCTCTCTTTCTCCCTTTTTTTTTTTTTTCTACGGTTGATGTTTCGTCTGATGTTTCGTTAGATTACCACGTTAGTTATGGGGTTTTAGAGACTACTCCGGGATTTGGGATAATTAAAATACTATCGCCACCACCATCAAGCTCATCACCGCCGTCTACAATGCGGGGTTTTCGTCGAAGTATTAATCAAGCCCAGAGCTTTATTGATAATTGCACCTTAACAGTGTATTCCAGAGCTAACTAGAAGCAACTGAACTAGCCGCTCAGCTGAAGAATGACCTATCATGAGCTGGAGACTTGGCAGCATTTCGATGATGATCTAGCTACTACCCAGAGTGGGTCTGCTGTACCCAAATGGAGCTGCAACGGCAGTGTGGCCAGAAGACCCAGGTGCTGTCTGTCCCTAATATTGTCGCAGATTAGCATTCCTTTTCCTGGACATCCTTGGGTTACGGAGACTCTTCCCCGTGTCATACTGTTATTAATTCTAGAGGTTGACAACCTATGCACCGCAACACCTACAGCTTTTCAGCTACACAATCTTCAGTCTCAATATATATGCTCATCTTTATTTGCTATGTCTAAGATAGCAATTCAGCAGAAGGAAATGAGCAGTATGAAGGGGAAGATATGATGAGAAACATGCCATAAGCTTGGGGCTATTGACCAACACCCTTAATTGTCAAAGACAGAATGTCATGCTATGAGCTAAGGACAGGCAGCCAAAGCGCAGCTCTTATCAAACATTTCAGAGGAAGTAAACAACATCCTACCACATTATCTTGCTCAAATATAGGTATTCCCACATATAAGCATAAATGGTCATAGAGTGTGCTATCGTGGTGGAAGATATTTCAGTCCCCATGTACAATAGAAGCCACATCATAAATGTTGACTGGAATCTTCAAAGAATCAGACATGCTGTTGAGATATATTATCTCTGTTTAGTTACTGTACCACATCTTGTGAATAGTAGTTTCTCTTTATATACGCTAGATAATGCTTGATTTCAGAAACAGTTTCCTGAGAGGTAGGAGATGTGCAGCTGAGTACTATCGTATCATTCCTAGAGCAAAAAGCCACGTAAAAGAAACCAACACTGTAGGAACCTCTTTGGTTTATGAGGCTACCCAGCAGCCTCCGGGTATAGCATGACATTGCTAGATTGTTATTTGACTTCTTGCAAAATTCTTTGCCTTGAGGAAACCCTCATTCGCCATCATCTCACACACTCTATACCACTTGTTGGCTGGTAACTCTACTTTGAAACCTTCATTAAGACCCTGAATTATCCAGGAGCTATCGCGTGCATATCCAGATATATATGCGGCAATAGCAACTCTCCACTATACCACGCTTTTTGAATACCCATAACATCCAAAGGAGCTCTTTGACTACCTAGAAAGAAGAGAATTCCGAGTCACTGGAGCTGTAGTTAAAAAGCAGTTA